ATGTACTGAGAAGCCTGGCAAAATCTTACACTTGACAAACACACCAATATCATCCCAAAACTTCTGAGTGTAGTGACATGACCAAAATAAGTGTAACACAGTTTCTTCAGAATTCGAACAAAAAGAGCATGTAAAGCTCAATGTCAGATTTAAATCTTTGTATAAACTTCTTTACGGGGTAGAACCTTGGTATGAGTTAAAATAAATTTTACCTTGTTTGTGAGAAAGAATTTTTGCTGTAGAGACCAGATTTTTTTCCAATTAAGGTTAACAAACAAATTATTCCAAAAGGAAATCACAGGTGGAACAGAAATCAGATTCTTAAGAAATAAAGATCGTATTTTATAATTTTTGGCTTTCGACTCAGAGAAACAAATTTTACCAACAGGAGTATCACAAGGTTTAGGAAAGGAAGCAGTAGATACTGATAAGTAATTACAGTTTTTAAAAAGCATACATAAACCAGAGGGGATAGCTCCCAAAACTGTAGCAAATTATTTTGGTGTTATTGGTATTTGGTATTTGGAAAGAAATTCTGAGTACCTGAACAAAAGACCTTGCTCATTAAACAACTGTTCCACGAATAATAAACCATTACTGAACCAACTATCATAAAACAGAGACTTATTCTTGAATAAAATGTTCTTATTGTTCCAAATAAAACATCTTTGTGGTGAAAAGTTATGCTTATAAATTAGTGCCCATGCTAAGAGAACCTGTCGATGAAAGTTGGAAAGTTTGATAGGGAGTTTGGGTATATCATAATTACACATTAAGAGAAAGTGAATGCCACCAAGTTGTGTAAAAACAAGTTGAGGAAAAACATTCCAAATAGAAGATGGTTTGGCTAGATACTGATTCAGCCAATTAATTTTAAATGTATTGTTGAGGGAATCAAAATCAATAAAATTCAGACCACCATTATTATATGTGTTTAATATGACTGATTTTCTCAAATAGTGAGATTTATTTCTCCATAGGAATTTTGTTAAAACCTCATTAATTAATTTAGACGTGGGCTTATCCACAAAAAGAGACTGAGCTGCGTAGGCCAAACGAGACAGACCCTCTGCCTTAGTAAGCAGCGTTCTGCCTTTTAGTGACAGATCCCTTTGTAACCAGCAATTGCAGTTTTTTTGTGTTTTGGTAATAATAGGTTTGAAGTTTGCTGAGCACCTACATTCATCTTTAGTAATTAATATACCAAGATAAGTTACCCTATTTTTGACAGCAATATCCTCAATTGAAGTAAGAGAGCAATCTTTAATTGGTAGCAATTCGCATTTGTTAAAGTTTAAATTTAATCCCGAAGCTTCAGAAAAAGACTGAAGAATATCCAAAGCCAATGGAATTTGTGACGAATCATTCAAGAATAAAGCTGTATCGTCCGCTAATTGAGTAATTTTTATTTTAGTGTTGCCAATTGTGATACCCTTTAACTGACTATTGTTGATATGTGTGCTAAGAAACTGTGTTGCAATTAGGAACAGGTAAGGGGAAACTGGACATCCTTGTCGAACTCCTCGTTTTAAAAAGAATCTAGGTGAAGTACCATTACTTAATTTGATAGAGCTGTTTCCGTTTATGTACAGCATTTGGACCATCCTGCAAAAAGCATCGCCAAAGCCAATTTTTTGTAGAGCCTGAAATAAAAATGTGTGTTCCAATGTGTCAAAAGCTTTGTAATAATCTAAAAAGAAAATGAAACCATCACAGTCTATTAAATCTGAATAATCTAACATATCTAGTACTAACCGTATATTATTAGAAATGTGCCTTTTCTGCATAAATCCTGATTGTGTTTCGTCAATTATGGAGTTCAAAACATATTTCAATCTTTTTGCTAGAACTAAAGCAATAATTTTATAATCATTATTTAATAATGTAATTGGACGCCAATTGTCTATTAAGAGGGGATCTTTATTTAATTTTGGGATAAGCGTTATTAATCCTTGACATAATGTGGCTGGAAGTAATGTTTTGAACTTCCCATCACTAATTTGTTGCTAAATGACGTTGTGATGTCATTGCGTAATGACGTCATTGCGTAATCACGACGCAAAATTGTCACATCATCAAATCTCAGCAAAAAATATATTATATTTATGTTAGTAAAATAATATGCATGATAAAATATAAATAACTGTATTTTTAAATACATTGAATTATTGAAAACGTACACATTTTTGAATGATTTCATTTTAAGATTTTTTAGTAGCTAGTAAACTAGTAATTCTACACATTCTCAACTAATATGCTTTAAGCAGTGTATTAGTAGTTAGTTAGTATGCTACACTCTAAGAAAAGTCTGTAAAAATAAGGCACAATCTACTATGTTAATATGAAAGAATTTTCCGTAATGGTTTTTTACCTGCATTTTAAATTACGCATTGTGTTTTCGGGTTACAGGGTTATAATGGATAATGCATTTTTCTTACAGTATACTAACTGATCAACAATCGCAGGTACAAGCTACTAACAAAGTGTATCATAAATGAACAATTATTCAATTATCAAATTATTCAATTATTATTATTAAATTGAACAATTGCAAATAGTAGCTAACTCAATTCACGTGATGTGTGTAGGCTACTGCTAGGCATCTGTGGTTTCCTCTTTTTGTGTAATTTGGATGGAAAATGTGTGCCTTTTTATTGTCTAACTTATCAAAAGTTGCCAAATCAATTTTTTAAAATTGCTAAATGTGTTGCTAGGTGCTTTTAGAAGAAAAAGCTGCTAGGATAGTCTGAAAAGTTGCTAAATTTAGCAACAAAATGGCTAAGTTGGCAACACTGGTAACAGTTTTGCTCTTCATAGGAGCGGCGGAATGGAGGAGGGGGCGTGTACGTAAGACGTACTATAACGGTTTAGAGTTAAAGAGATACTACACCCACAAAATGGATGTTCTGTCATGTTATTAATCTTATGTTCATGCTAAATAATAAAATATTAAATTTATAATTTTCAAGCAATATGCCTATGTGCATTCTAAATACATACCCATGTTTTAGAATTTTACCAAGGAGAAAAAAATCTTATTGGGACCACAAGGTCAACATGTTTGTTATTATATACATCTATATGAGGCGTTAAATTAGAACTAGTTTAGAACGCATTTACATCATAGATGCATATATAATGTACCATAATTTAACAAAAATAGGTGTTTGTTTATCTTAACAATCTTAAGTAATTCTTTATCCCATGCAGCAGTCGATTTTATTAACACCAACTGATTTCACTTTTCTTTTTCTTATATAAAGTTCACAATAAACGTCTTCCCGTTATCTTGGAAATGTTTGACTATGCTTGATCCTTGTCCCAGATTTTCAGAAACACCCAAAAGCATACAATTATTTTATTAAAAACTAATATTAAAAATGAATCTGGACCAAACATTTAATGTGATGCAAAAACATGCAAGTTATTGTAAAACTGTTGCTCTAATACGTTTAGGCAGAATTTACAGCCACAACACTAGAGGAACAAAAAACATAGGAAAAAACGCTGGTCAAAAGCACTGAACACACTGGTTTGTCGCAAAAATACTTTCACTACCCCCCCCATATTAGCAAAAGAATCTGAAGTCTTGCACATTCACAAGAAATAGCTCACTTCTGCTTTGAAAAATACAGTGAATAGTATATCTGCAATATTAAATCCACAGACTCAAATCCAAATCCTCAGTTTTATATTTTAATTTTGAGATACAGAATACAGCAGAAAAAAATAAACTTCATTTTGATATTATCATGTCTGATTTACAATAAATAGCACTAATCATCAATAAATTACAGACACACATAAAATGGCCAAATGACTCAAAGGATACAATCACTATAAAATAAATAACACAATAATAAACTTATTAGAACAGAACCTGTTAAAATCAAGAATATAAAGGAGATAAAAATCCATTTAAAAATGACAGGATGACGATGGCTCATGGCAGAGATGTGCGTGGGTACATGAGCTCACACATAGTAGCTAAAGAACAAATGTTTATGGCTGTCAGCATTCAGAACAAGTGTACAAGCGACAACAAATGTATATTATCTATGATGGTGTAAACCATTTCACTGATCTTCATGCTGGACTGCAGGTTAAGGACAGTGTAAAGTCCACAGTAACAGAGGGGGAGATTTCTGGGGTTTCCTGATGCTTGACTGTGGATTTCTGGAGCCCTCTAGTAGTTCACAGATACTGTAAGTGTTTCCAGTTGGTATTCCGCAAAATGTTTATGCGCTTTTGTCAAAGACAACATTGGCATTTCCTTTGTGCAAATTCACTTTTTTTTTCTCAGACTTTAAACCTGCAATTTACAAACAAAATAACTACAGTAGATTTCTAGCAAATACCTAAGTCTAATAAAAAAAATGGGTATTTAGTTGAACACCAGTGGAATCAAACACAGTATGACTGTGCCACATTTCCCTGAATTGCCTTTCACTCACATTCTGCACTGGATGAATAATTGAAAGCGTATGACACCGCTAACGTCTGGCTGGTCCTGCAGCCTTGCACAGGGAGCCCTGCTCTTCAATCGTCTCCAGCTCCTCTGACCGCACAGCCTGGGTGATCAGATTCAGCTCCTCGCACAGTGTCTCAAAGCGGTACGCCACTCGGATGTCTGGAACGTTAGTGCGTCTGATGTCATTGCCCTCCTGCCCTTCTTTCAGATAACGTGGCCCCAGCCAATAGCTTTTCACCTGGACACAAGACATCTATATGCATTAGTCACATGTTTTTCTCTCTGATTCCTTGTATTTGAATTGTCTATATCAGTGGTTTGGCTTCAGGATGCACACTGGACATCAAGTGTGACCAAACAAAGTACCAAAACTGTTTTTTGAACAAAACTGAATGGCAGCCAATAATTTACCACACAAAACATACTGTGGATGCCACAAATATCCTCAAAGGCAAAAGAAGCCATATATAATGTAAAATAATCTGGGTCATATTTTCCTTTATATACTGTAGTTTTGGTCAGGGCTTTAGAGAATGAGGTAATTTTATGCAATCTGCTTTTGTTGGCTTTTAACTACTGTAATTTGACTACTGACAGATAAGCTTGTGCCAATATAGTGTTGTGTTTTGACACACAACTAAATTGGTTGCCACAACAACAGAAGATATGAGAAGTATTTTATCCTCCCTTTTAAAAGCGGAAAGTCTTAAAGTTACATTTCAGTGAGGAATAAAGTATTGTTTTTCTCTGCTGTCCATAATTAATTTTTTGGTCACGACACACCAGTTGAGAACCACCACTCAAAAGTTTGGCAAGATTTTTAAAGGGGTGGTTGATTATGATTTCACTTTTTGAACTTTAGTTAGTGTGTAATGTTGCTGTTAGAGCATAAACAACGGCTGCAAAGTTACGACGCTCCGAGTTCAATGCAAAGGGGAATATTTTCTTTTAAAGTAATCGCTGTTTAAGGACTACAAAAAAAAAAAGAAAAGAAAAAAAGCTTCTTCCTGGGTTTGTGACATCACTAACACTGATGTTTCCATAAACCCCGCCCCCAGGAACATGCAACTACCTGTAATGGTAAGGGGGCGTGACGTTTCCGGACAATGTGCACTAGGCAGTTAGCAAATTACAAACACACTCAGCCTGCTAACCAATCAGAGCCCATTGCATATTTCTGAGGGAGGGGCTTAATAGAACCAGGAACTCAACAGACAGTTTGGACGAGAATGGAAACAGCGGTGTAGTATAAAGGTAAAATATGTTAAAATAATGTTGTTGTTTTTTTAAATAATGTTTTTAAAAAAAACGAAGCATGAGCACATGTTACACTGCACCCCATAAACACAATCAAGCTTTCGAAAAAAGCTGATCAACCACCCCTTTAATGTCTTTGAAAGAAGTCTCTCGTGCTCACTAAGGCTGCATTTATTTGATCAAAATATAGTAAAAACAGTAATATTGTGAAATATTATTACAATATAAAACAACTGTTTTATATTTATTCCTGTGATGACAAAGATTAATTTTTAGCAGCCATTACTCCAGTCTTCAGTGTCACATAATTCTTTAGAAATCATTCTAATATGATGATTTGTTGATCAAGAAACATTTTTTTCTTATTATCAATGTTGAACACAGCTGTGCTGCTTTATATTTTTGTGGAAATGGTTATACATTCTTTTATAGGATTCCTTAAATTATATAAAATTCTAAAGAACAGCATTTATTTTAATTTTGAATGGAAATCTTTTGTAATATTTTAAATGTCACTTTTGATCAATGCATCCTTGCTAAATAAAAGTATTAAGGAAAAAAAAAATCTTACTGACCCCAACATTTTGAACAGTAGCGTATGTAGAAATGAAGATTAATATAAAATTTTAGAGTATGGTTCATTTTTAGGTCATGGTACCTAATGCTTTACCTTACCAGAATGTAGAAAGTAAAATGTGCACACTAAACAACACAAAACTGACTTCTGCCACTGCTGACAGGCGTACGTGTAGATGTGAGCACCTGTTGAGAAAATCCACTCATGAGCACACTGTTTCGGGACAGCTCACACATGTCACACGAGCTCAGCTTCCACACCTGAGCAGCGATGCTGTACTCCTCCATCAGCGGCTCCTGAACAACCACACACACACTAGGTCAAACACATTGAGACCTCACTCAAGGAATAACAGATATAATTAAAATATTTGAACATCTGATGGTATAGTTTGGCTTGTAACCTTTGTGAAATGGAACTGCAGTGGGTCATCAGTGGACAAAGACACCATGAGACCCCGGGACAGGTACTCAGGCAGTGGATTTCGATGGTAACTGAGGAAGAGGCTGTTGTTGCTGAGTGGGGACATGGCTATGCCGATCTGAGCCAGGTAATACAGATACTGCAGTACAGGAGCCTGAAGAAGATACACAAACGTCTCTCTCTGGGTGGACTGATAAGCTCTTGACTGTTTGCAATGGGTCTTGAAGATAAGAATATTAGCTCTAAAATATCAAGTGTGAAAAAACGTGATGTTGTTCTGTCAAAATTGTTCACAGTAAGTCAAAGCTGAAGAGGGTATCAATGTTTGAATGGCTGTTGAATACTGGCACCTTTCAAATTGTTTACCATGTTAAGGTCTGATATTAACACATACGGCCTTGGGTTGATACAAAACAATCATGAAAAAAAAAAAATCTTGAGTTCACACTTACATAAAATAAATAGTTATGCATATTTGGTGTGCTGTCTGAGGGGAGGGCTCCGAGCTCCAAATATACCTATTATCTTGTTTATTGGGTTGCTTACTGAATAAGCTCCTCTCACTTAGGTGCTTTTCAATGTAATAATAATATACACCACTGTTCAAATGTTTGGGGTCTGTAAGATATTTCTTAAGAAAAATTGCTTTATTCAGCAAGGACACTTTGATCAAAAGTGGAAAATAAATATCAAGGTTTCCACATAACTATTAAGTAGCACAACAGTTTACAACATTGTTAACAATAAGAAATGTTTCTTGAACTTTAAATCAGCATATTAGAATGATTTCTGAAGGATCATGTGACACTGAAGACTGGAGTAATGACTGCTGACAATTCAACTTTGCCCTCACAGGAACAAATTACTTTTTAAAATACATTTAAATAGAAAACAGTTATTTAAAATTTTAATAATCTTTCACAATACTACTGTTTTTACTGTACTTTGGATCAAATAAATGCAGCCTTGGTGAACATAAGACACTTCCAAAAACATTTAAAAAATCGTACTGACCCCAAACTTTTAGACAAGAGTAAATATTTGTATTTTTTAATTTGATCAGAGATTTAGGCCTACTGTAGGCATCAGATAATATACTGCCACTTTATATCGACACTTCTTAATGTTCAGTACTCACAATAACCGGGGCACCTGCACCAGCCAGCGCACATTATCTGAATAAACTTTGTGTTTGACGGCCCACTGAGCCAGTTTATCCCATTCATCTCGTGAGCGGCCGTAGATGGAGAGTCTCAGCTCCACATTCTGATATTTGCTCTCCTCCAGGTCTGCCATCACCTCCTGAAATGCACCAACATACAACTATCAACAGGGGGCACACTTTACCATATGAAACTGAATTCATCCTCAATTTATGTTGTTAACCTCAAAGATTATAAGGAACAGATACCTTGATTATGTGCCCGAAGTATTTCCCCTCAATATGGTTGTCAGTCTTGATAAAGATTTCTCGGAGGATGGACTCTCCAATTGGGTTGTATTTGGAATTGAATTTATCAAAGCGGTGAAACGTGTTACGGTCCTACAGGAAAGAGAATATTTGTATCATTTAAAAAAATCTTTTTCCCCCCCTCATCCTGCTTTCCAAAACTACTTCTTCAATGTTGCCCAATTATTTCCATGTACAATTTAGAGAAGAATCTCATTTAGTAAAGGGACCAATTAAACTGTGTGCAACTTTATACAGCATTCATTTAGAGTCACAGTTTGCATTCAGTAGAGAACAACGGGTCATTCATCAGCTTTTCCAGTTCTCACTTGTGTAAACCCATAAAGCTTGTGCAACTCTGTGCAACATATTTTTAGTGAGAGTGACCTACATCCCACGCAAACTCATTAAGTTTGAAACTCCCACTAAATATTTGACTTGCCATCTACTGTGTGAAACAACTTCAAGTTAACTTTATTTTAAGTTCTTTTAAAACTATTTCATGGTTCTGTGTTATTTCAGTTTTCTGTTCTTTTCTGTTCATATTTTTGTTAATAGTCAATAGTCGTTTAGGTTTTAATGAATAATTGTTAAGTCAACCAGATATAACATATTAGGCACTACCATTCAAAAGTTTGTGGTCAGTAAGTCTTTTAAGAAATTAATAGCCTACTTTTATTCAACAATGACAAAAAAAATGGACAAAATGTGACAGCAAAGACATTTATGTTATGAAATATTTCTATTTGAAATAAATGCTGTTCTTTTGAACTTTTTATTCAACAAAGAATCCTGAAAAAAAAGTGTAATATTTTTATATTTTTCAACATTCACAACAAAAATGTTTCTTAAGCACCAAATCAGCATATTAGCATGATTTCTGAAAGATCATGCGACACTGAAGACTGGAGTAATGACTGCTGAAAATTTAGCTTTGCAATCACAGGAATACAATTTTAATAATATAATAATTACAATATTTCACAATATTACTGTTTTTACGGTAGTTTTGTTTTTCAACATTCACAACAAAAATGTTTCTTAAGCACCAAATCAGCATATTAGCATGATTTCTGAAAGATCATGCGACACTGAAGACTGGAGTAATGACTGCTGAAGATTTAGCTTTGCAATCACAGGAATACAATTTTAATAATATAATAATTACAATATTTCACAATATTACTGTTTTTACGGTAGTTTTTATTAAATCTTGGTGAACATAAGAGACCTCTTTCAAAAACACAAAAATCTGTAAGCCCCAAATATTTTAACAGTAGTGTATTCACAACTGTAGTGTATATTCAGTTTCTATTATTATTATTATTATTATTGATTATTATGTCTAATTGCTAGTGATGGTAGAAGTATTTTTCCAACCACTGATGGCATGTGTATAAGTACCTCTACAGTTCTTACCGCATGCATATCCAGAGTGTCTACGCTGAGGTCAAAGGCCGTCAGGTTCATGCTCTCAAACACCTCTGATAGAGTCTGTCCTCGGCCTTGTTCTACATGGACGATTTCACCTGGATACTTCTTCATGGCTCTTTTAATAAAGCGCAGCAGGTGCTTCTGATTCATGCAGGATGAAGCATGGATATGTGTGTCCACCTGAAGGTCAAGATGTCAAAGTTCAATAGTGATAATCACATCACAAGTGATCAGCAATGATTAATCAAATAATCCGATTTTTCCTGTGACAACCACTAATAAATTTAATGAACTTCAACAAAGTTTTTGTGTGTTCATGCCGTTGAATAGCGGACCTTCCTGATGTTGTAGAAATCACGGTGTGGGACTTTCTTCTGTGCTGCCAACTCTTTCATCTCATTTAAGAGAATGTGCATCTGGAACTTGGAGCTGAGGTACTGCAGCCGGCGATAGCAAAAGGATTTCCTGTGTGAAAAATATACAATCGGGAATCTGTATGCTAAACCTAAGGCAGATCAGACCAGTTCTGGCTATTTTTGGGGTTAGATTTAGACTTTGCCACCTCTTCATCTTTGTGACATTATTCAGATTACAAATTAATTACAGGTCTTTATCTCAGTGAGGACAGGTTCATTTGTTTTTACATTTCAATCACAGGTTCAAACTGAGGTCAGTACGTATTGATTTCAATCAAGCAAAGGAGCCCACTCAGGGATCAGCTCACATTTACAGAATGAGCTGTTTCAATAAGTAATTTGATCATCTTTTCGTGATACTGCTGCATCAGAATGGAAACAAACCTCACAGTGTTCAGTACAACTTACACTGGCCCGTTAATGATGAGTGCCATCATCATGTTCATATCAGCTATGTATTCCTGCAGGTCTGGGTACGGCAAGTCCAGCTCTGAGGAACTGATGTACATTATGAACAAACAAAAAGACAAAAAAAGACAAAATGTTAAAGGATTAGTTCACTACCAGAACAAACATTTCCTAATAATTTACTCACCACCCCCATGTCATCCAATATTTTCATGTCTTTCTTTAAGGTTTCTGAGGAAAGCATTCCTGGATTTTTCTCCATATTATGGACTTCAAAGGTCCAAAGTTTCAGTGCAGCTTCAAAGGGCTCTAAACAATCCCAGCCGAGGAATAAGTGTCTTATCTAGCGAAACAATCGATCATTTTCTAAAATAAATAAATAAATAAAATAAAAATGTATATATATTTTAACTACAAATGCTCATCTTGCACTAGCTCCGTGATGCGCATCCGCAAATTCGCACATTATGTAATCACGAAAGGTCACTCACACACACACATGACCTTTCCAACGTGACCTGCGTAATGTGTGGAGTCGAGCTAGTGCAAGATGAGCATTTGTGATTAAAATGTATTTCACTTTTTATTTTTATTTTTTAAGAAAATGCACAATCTCTAGATTAGAATTATTTCTGAGCTGGGATCGTGTAGAGTAGCAATGGTGAAATGAAGCTTTGAGAAGCACCGAGGCTTTCCCCTCAACTCAAATTGTAAATTGGTTCATTACTTGAAGCTTTTCACGTTGCACACTAATGACGTCTTGTGGTCAAAGGTAGAAAAAGGTGCCTCTGCGTCCTAGCAATTTTTGGACTGTTTAATAAAAATGAATTCATTTGTGCTACGAAAACTATATAAAGCAATAAAAAAATAAAATGTGGTATGAATGAGTCTGTGAATACATTTATGAAAAAAATAAGCATGGGTCATGTAGGCATATATATGATCAAAATAAGTGAAGATTATTGTGGCATTGTCAGTTGAAGTATTTTTGAAGTGGGGATTAATACAAACTGAACATGCACAAAACTGCACATGTACATATTTATTTGTATTATGATTTATTCTTATCTATATGATACTTGAAACCTGCACAAGGGGTTCACGTTATTTGAATCAGAATACGAAGCAGTCACTGATTTTGTGTGTGAAAACTTCGGATGTCACAGATCACGTGGTTATAGCAAAATGAATCAAACTCCGGTACAGTGCTTCACTGTGAGATGTTTGTTTTTTTTATACAAGTTTCGAAGCCTCGGTGCCGAACGTCACATCACTAGAGCCCTTTGAACTGCACTGAAGCTGCAATTTGGACCTTCAGCCCGTTGGCCACCATTGAAGTCCATTATATGGAGAAAAATCCTGGAATGTTTTCCTCAAAAACCTTAATTTACAATGGTCAGTGAGTAAACAGGAAGAAGTCTTACTTGTGCGTGTACACATGAACAACACCATCTACCATCTTGCAAGTGTAGCTCAATCCTGGGGGCATGTTGGCAGGGTCTAGCACCTCATAGGGGTGGGTTTCTGAGACAGGAGGGTGGACCGTTGCATCTGTGGAGAACACATGATATAGGCCAAAGAGTGGGAGATGTTGTTTTGTTTTGTAACTGAATATTGATCACACAAAAATTACACTTATACATATAATAAAGTTTGGGGTTGGTAAGATTTTTTTTGTTTTTGAAAGAACATTTTTATGCTCACCAATGCTGCATTTATCTGATCAAAAATACAGTAAAACCAGTGATATTGTGAAATATTTTGGGTTGTCAACGTTAACGCGCTAACGCATGCGATTAATTTTACAATCCTTAACGCGTAATATAAAAGAAACCAGGCTGATTACATCAGAGATTGCAGAGAGAACAGACTCGCGTTGCATTTTCAGTGAATTATTCATTCCAGTGTTTCGCTTTTAAACAAAAAAAATAAATATTACATTTGTTCATCACTTAAGTCATATGAATGACTTTTATTGTATTTTGTAATTGTGGTGGTAACGATAAAAAAAATTCATTTTTGTGAACTACCGCTTTAATGAGCAGAAATGTGTTTGTTCTGTGGTTTAACGGATCATTTGTGGTTCATAAACAGATGCTGAATCTGCAAACAAAGCACATGCCTTCAGTTCTTTCCACAGTTAAGTCAATTCCATGAAATCACTCAGCTGTAAATTATTCCTCTCTTCTAAATGCAGATCAATCCAGTGTGTCTCTCTCTATTGAGTTTAAACACAATCTTAAACTTTTCCATTTACTGTACATTTTAGCTATAAGATCCTGATTCTTGGACATAAATCATTAATCCTCAAAATACAAACCCAATTCCAAAAAAGTTGGGACACTGTACAAATTGTGAGTAAAAAAGGAATGGAATAATTTACAAATCTCATAAACTTATATTTTATTCACAATAGAATATAGATAACATATCAAATGTTGAAAGTGAGACATTTTGAAATGTCATGCCAAATATTGGCTCATTTTGGATTTCATGAGAGCTACACATTCTAAAAAAGTTGGGACAGGTAGCAATAAGAGGCCGGAAAAGTTAAATGTACATATAAGGAACAGCTGGAGGACCAATTTGCAACTTATTAGGTCAATTGGCAACATGATTGGGTATAAAAAGAGCCTCTCAGAGTGGCAGTTTCTCTTAGAAGTCAAGATGGGCAGAGGATCACCAATTCCCCCAATGCTGTGGCGAAAAATAGTGGAGCAATATCAGAAAAGAGTTTCTCAGAGAAAAATTGCAAAGAGTTTGAAGTTATCATCATCTACAGTGCATAATATCATCCAAAGATTCAGAGAATCTGGAACAATCTCTGTGCGTAAGGGTCAAGGCCGGAAAACCATACTGGATGCCCGTGATCTTCGGGCCCTTAGACGGCACTGCATCACATACAGGAATGCTACTGTAATGAAAATCACAACATGGACTCAGGAATACTTCCAGAAAACATTGCCG